TTTTTTTTTTTTTTTTTGAATAATATATTTTACAGAACACGATTAATATGGCCGGTCATTGAAAGGGATCGTTTAAATTTATTTAGCTCATTTAGAGTAACGCCTAGGTCGGGACCTAATACCGGGTTCTCGATCCGGGACTCGGGTTGCACGTATTCCGGGTTCTGGGCAAACGCGAAAACCGCACGTCCGCTTCGTATATTTCCACGATGCAGCTGTAATTAATAACGGATATCCGCCGGCCTCCGGCGGATGCATACAACAGCTATATAATAGTAATAATAATATAATATACCACGGCATAGTTTTAATTCCGTTTGCGCATGCGATTACACATTTATATGTAGGTACATTTATAGGTACGTACCTACCTATATATTTATCATACGCTAGTCGACGGCGGAACGAACGGTCGAATATCATTTAATAATAATTATAATATAAATTGGCCAGGTTGGGTTGGTGATATATTTTATGTTTACTCTTATTGCAATATCTGCAATATTCAACTCGACTAAGCAAATATTGCCCAAGACTTTAATTATAATGAGTAATGACACATTTCTAATACATTTACGGTCTGTCGTCGTCGCTACTTAGTACCATACATTTATAATCTTATTTCCCATTCTCGCCGGTTTTAAAACTACATTTTATTACGCTAATTACATATGTTTAGAGTCGTCGGACCGTAGTTAGTTCGTACAACAATCATACAACAAATGATACTAAGTACATGTACTAGTGTATACGGTTTTTATTGTCGTTGGTTGTTTTTTTCAGTAAACATTGCCAGCCGCCTGTGTTAACAAAATATTATATACTATTATTAAACATTTTAATCATAAAGCTGTCTGACAATATTCCTGTGAAATAATATGAGATGAAATGTTTCGAGTTAGATTGTAGCGTATTATATACATAATATAGTACTACTATTGACGAAATTTATTTTCGTAGCTTGTTGGTATACATTTTGAAATATGATTCAGTATAATAATACAACAGACGAACGAAGAAAGATGTTTGATGGATCTAGACTCGTCGATTTTCATTCCGTTTTGTTCCGTAACGTAAAAAATAAATAAATAAATGTCGATTTATCATCCCACGTATACCACGCTGAGCAGATTACATTTTTGAGCTCCGGCCAAATATTCCGGTAGCCCGGAATAAAATTAATTTCACTACATTTAGCTAGGCAATTCATTACGCGACTTATCTCTTCCAGCACCTTAACATTTCTTAAACATTTATAAGTGTACCGTATATAGTTAACAATTGGCGTTGTTTGAGTAAAAATAGGAAGAGACCGATAACGAGTGAGAGGTTATAACGTTAAAATCAAAACAGTATTAAACTGCAGGAGTACAAAGTATCCTGCAGTACATTATACTTTTATAAATAAATTTAATATACATTAGATATGACGTATCGTATCACATTATTTTGTGCGGAAAAAATACTAACCAGACAATTGACGCAATATTATTGCATTGGTTGTGTTCGGGTTGGCTGAAAATGATACACGCGTGCCTTTGATGTATACAGTCGACACAATTAATTACTGTAATCAATTAGTTATGTAATATGTGCCTAAAATGTTAATTTTCCATGTTGACTGATTGCTTTATACAGTTACAGCTATTGGCGTACACGCGGTACGCGTAAACGGAGTAAAATTAATTTTCGAACGGCCCACATATTATTTTATTGAGCGTCCAGATTTTATTACAGAAGTAATAAACATATAATAATCTGCTCCATTAAACCTATAATGGTGATGCGGTGGACGATAATAATATAGCGAATTAATTGTTGGTAGGTATATTGTGTACGTGTAACTAAATATTTTGAATATCGCGACCATGTTAATATACCTACGGCGATCATTATCCCGCGGGCGGTGTAATAGATACAACTGCAACAAAATTCAAATGAGCTGAGGATCGTGTTTCCACGCATCGACGGGCTTAAAGTTTGAAGTGAAAAATTCTTCCTCTAAAATATTAAATATAAATATATATCGACACCGACGAGACGCGAAAGATGGATCCGTAATTTCACTTTATGTTATAAATCAAGATGTTTAATACCTCAGCTGTTTTTTAAGTATAATTAAAATAGTATTGTAAGTGAGCCAATTTTTTCGTCGCCGTTGCTTATACAAATCTCGGACAAAATTATTGCGAACAGACTAAATGACAGTTATTCGAATTGTTTGTATATCGAAACACTAAAATGCTTGTAATATAGTCAACAATAATATAAATAACAGATTACCCAGTGTTTAACGATAACTACTGTGCGGCGGACTATATAGTTTTGAATTCGGGTATTAAGTATTAACGTACACAACTTAACTGCTTCAGCGAGTTTATGTATTTATGATTCAATATTATGTATTGGCAAACAGAAATACAACGAGTTATATTTGATTGGACATGCTACTTCAATCAACATTAAAGTCGTGTTTTTCTTTACGAAACGTATTTCTATTTATTAAAATTTAACAATTTTCGGTCAAAGAAAAATCGGTGCTGTTAATTTATTAATGACTTGGAAGTTGAAGTAACACTAAAAGCAAACGGTTGTAAACCAAATGGTTACATATTAGGTGGATGAAACCATTAATTTAAGTAGGAGTCTGACAATTATTGATGAGGAGTGATAAATAATGGTTGGAAAATTCGTTCTGGATGAATTAAAATGTACAAAGTAACAGTTTCTATATAATATTATAAACTTAAAATTATTGTGAGAGTATACTTATAATCTAAAAAATAACACCGTTTATTCTTCCGTTGTTTGAATCATTAAGATTGAATTGAATCGTGCTAATGAAAATTATTTAGAAAGAAATTAATTAAAAAGAAAAAAACTGATTTCTTTGGTTTCAAAATTATTATTGGTTTGCAGCTAAGTTGATAAAAAGTTTTATATTTTTTTTCAGTATTGGTAGTATTTATCGGAATCTCTTGTAATACTACTTTTCTTTCATGATTTCACTCAACACAGACAATTTTGTATTTCTCTTCTTACTTTTGACCTGTGTTTTATTCAATTCAGATTTTTACACTGATATACAGATATTAAAATATAGATTGCTAATCTTCTACTTTTTACTAGTCGTTTAAGCATATGATTTGTACCTATAATAATAAATATTAATTTTTATGACCATTTTGAATAAGTAGATTGCAGTACATACCAGGGACAGATTCGGGGAGATTGGACCGAATCCCCATCTCATTACGACACGTTAGGACTTGTGTCGGGAAAGATAACAAAAAATATTTGTATATAAATTAAATAATAAATAAATGACTTCAAATTTATCTATGATATAGAAAGATAAATATTTAAGACAACGATAAATAATTAAAATGTTATTAATCGCTTAATACATATTTCATGTATTAAATACTAAAAGGGTTCAACAATACCGTATTACTTTAAGTAAATACTTTAAATTAATTCAGATAGGTCTAGTATTTGTTATTAATTTGCCGATACAACTATAAAAGTGTACAACGGTACAAGTATGTCAACAAGTCTTATAATTTATATCAAACAATAAACATATACCTAGATCCAATAAAATAATTTCAATTATAAAAATGATTACCTAGGTAAATAGATAAATTTAAACATTACTAATGTTTAGTTGATAACTGTTTATTCGCCAAAGCTAAATAAAATAAAACAATCCAAATTTATTTCTGATTTTTTGATTTAATATTATAATGACGTAGTACATCATCGTTTTTGACAGTAGGTAATGACTACTATATAGTTAGCTCTTCACAGAATATACATTTTTATACTAATAGTTCTCAAATTATACAGAGTGATTGGAACAAATTAACTTAACGAAAAAAAATTTAAATAGACATGACGTGTATCGTGCGTGAGTTACGATTTACCCGAAAAACGACAACCGCACAGTGTGATTATGTGTGTGTTGTGCAGCTTTCACCAATTTTCAAAGCACGAACTTAACCATCTCCGCGTGATGTCGTATATAATTAATTTAGCGTGGAGTGTTTAACATTTTACCGTTTTCTTATTATATTAACCGTGTCGAATTAGCCATTTTTATTGGATATATATATTTTATACCAAACGTAACATGAAATCTGTCGATTCGCAACGTGAGCTTTACGCTCAAATGCAATAATAAGGATACCTACCTCTAAATAATATGTATTACGTCATATTACGTATTATTATTATCGTCAGCTGTGGCTGCAACCGAAAATGGAAAATGTGATGTCGAAAAAAAAGATTTTATAAACGAATAATCTTCTACATGACGTGTTTTATGATATATTACCGTCGCGGCCACGCATAATATTTTAGGCACTATACGAATCCGTTTTAACGCTTACAATTTTTTTTGTTTTGTTTCGTTTTCAGCATGGATCGGCTCCCGGCACATCGTTACGTTCATGTTGTTCCTTGGCATGGCCAACGCTTACATAATGAGGACCAACATGTCGGTGGCCATAGTGGCCATGGTCAACCAGACCGCGCTGGAAAGGGACCCGACCATTCCGGACGATGAATGCGAGGGCTACTACACTCCCGTCGGGAACACAACCGTACACGTGAGTATACCACCATCACACCACGATATCACGATCACCGCCATGATACTCTTTTTCGGGTTCTCGGCGATTTACTCCAAGACCTGATAGGTTTACATGAGTCATAATACCTTATATCTAGTGCCGACGCTAGGGGAGGACAAATGGGACATATGTCCAGGACCCCGGGCTTGTCAAAGGGCCCAGCGATTTAAAAAAAAAATAAATAATATTATTATTTTTTATGTTTAAAATTTGAAGAAAAACAATATTTTTTTTTAAATCAGGATTTAAAAAAAGCTAGAATTTTACTCTCTTCTGGGGTACCTAATGGCTAATACCTTGGTGCCGCGGCACACTGGTATGCCGCGAGTATCCACTAAGGGCCAGTTGTACAGTCTGTGATTAAACTCCGATTATGCTTAATCAGCTGATAACAGATATTTAACCGGCCAAATTCGGCCGGTTAAACTGTGATTAACTTTAATCACAGACTGTACAACTGGCCCTAAGTGTACCGCGGTTTTTCCATAAATGACCGATTGCATTGAATTGTTCATCTGAAAAAAGGTTAGTGTGCCGTGTATAATAAAAGTTTGAAAACGATTGTATGGAATGTGTCAAAGCCTAGAGGCCGCTTTTTGTTGTTTACTCAATATTATATGCACGGTAGTGCGGAGTAATAGGGTAAGATATTTAGGTGAATAGATTATTGTAATTTTGACGAGCTACATCACTGCATTTTTTCGTCAAGACAACTTACATCACTGCGAGATGTTTTGACGCCGTTCGCCGTACGCTCGAATGCCGTTGTAGTGCCTAGTTTATTAGACCTTATATTGTGCGAATAGCTGACAAGTAATTTGTACAACAACAGTGCTGCTGACAGCTCGGCGATAAGACTATCGCAGTGATGTAGGCTTGACGACAAAATAAAGATAATCTATATAACCTAACCTTACCGTATTATACCGCTCTACCGCCTATATAAGTAACTCGGTAATTGAAAAGCGCACTCATATTTTGCCTCTTTCCTTACACCCATTACTTGTCGATCAGGTACTCGACTTAAATACAATTTTGACAGTAATATGTGTAAAAAAAACTTTTGATGCGACATTTGCAAGCCTGTGATACCCACTGGAAGTGGCAACACTGTGTATTTCAAATCGGACGAGAAAAAGCTGATTATTGATACCGCAAACGAAAATCGATTTCACCGAGACCACAAATCGAATCTCAAAATTCAGTTTTATTTTTCAAATTTATCGAGTCTTAAAAGCAGTTTTTAGTGACCTGAAAATAAAACCCGTGGGGATCAACCTGATAAGTATAGGACCTACAATTGTGAAACACCGGAAAAAAATAATGGTTAAATATGAAGTTGAAACTTGAAAGAACATAAAATATTTGCTGTTATCACTCAAAATTTTCACCGTCGAAAAATAAACTTTGATACGACGACTACATTTTGTAGGTACATGTTTGTAATATTATAATAACGGTACACTACTGCCGGCGATGGAACAGCGTGCAGTTTCACACGAAATCCTTTTTCGGAAAAGAAAAAATCTTACACGATTTTTAATATAAGTCGAAAAAGTTTTACCGATAAAAAATTATATTTACGAAAATCCGGTGGCGGGGGTACTATGAAAACTTTTTGTAATTCACTTGTAAGCGCCGCCGAACGAATAAATTATAAACACGATGTTTTCGAACGGTATTTCAATTTTGAACCACAGATTTTAGGGTAGTATTATATTTTTTACTAGTGAAAACTAGCATGCATTATTCTGAAAAATTAATCTGGCTTTTGATAACATCGAATAGGCATCACAGCTATTTCTATTTTATAGTTCAATGTCATTTTTACAAAGGCTGAAGACATCAGTAATTAACTTAAAATTACATTATATTATAAGCTCAAAGTGTAAGAATTTAATCTTCACTTGAAAACTACAAGTCATTTAAGAAACGATACTTTTTTTTAACTAACTGAAATTTTAAATAATAATTAATTAGGTACGATGTTTAAATCTAATGTTATATAATATTTGCTAATTAATTTACACATATTATGATGTACATAATTATTTGTACTTATAAATGAATATAGTATATTAGTCTAAAAATAATTTAGGTACTATGCGTGTAAAAGAACTCAAATTCCGTTTTAAATAATATCATGAAAGTAATTTTTACACGTTTTTATACTGATTATTTATATTTTTTTATTCTGTTTTTAATTGTACTAATACCTACCTACGAGTATACCATTCAAAGATAATTGATAATTTGTACCTATCATAATAAGAACTCATGACATATGAAACTTACCTCATCAATAGTTTTTCTTTGAAATTATTTCTTTAAGTATCCATACCTACCTATAGTCATCAATATAAAATTCCGTTAAAAATTAAAATGTTTTTTTTTCTCAAAACTGCAATATAGCATTCAAAACTCTTTTATAATTCGTCGTAATCGATAATAGCTATAAATATATCAGTAATATCACTTACAAATACATACAATATTATAACAATGCGTTTATTATTTCAGAGCATGTCCAACGAAGGATCATTCTTGTGGAGCACATCCCAACAGGGCTATGTGCTCAGTTCGTTCTTCTACGGCTACGTCATAACGCAGATACCGTTTGGGATACTGTCAAAGAAGTATGGCGCCAAGTATTTCCTTGGCGTCGGCATGCTCATAAATTCGGTGTTCGGCTTCTTGGTGCCGTTGTCTGCCAACTTCGGCATTTTTTCACTGATCACCATACGTTTCATTCAGGGGCTCGGAGAAGTAAGTATTTGGTGGCAAAAACGACCACGAGATATTGTATATTTTTCAGAATATTAGTTTATGATAGTTACCTGTATAGGCTATAGGAATAATGACCACGAAATTAAAAATATCGTATTTAAAAACATAGGCCAAGCATTAAAGTATAGTTAGCTACTTTTACGGGTAAAAGCGAAAATAGGTGAAATCATATTATTTATATAATTACAATATGCACCCAACTCGTCTGCATATGTACCTCTGCTCGATAAATATTAATTGCGTTTTGATTTTTTATTGTGATTTTTATTTATTTATTTTTTTGTGGGCGGAGGAATAAAAATATGGTACGTACACATTTTTAGAATCCCAAGAGTGGCCGCTGGAAGCGAGCGTCCTACAACAGCAGTTGTTGGTGGGATAAAATATTTAACGCTATGAAAAATGTATTCTTTTACCCAATTGGATACGAAATGTAATATATTATGGAAAACATTCAAACCATAGAAAATGTTTTCATACGTGTTTATGCAATATGCGTTGGATGGATTTTTTTTCCCTATTTCCTATAATTGATGTGGGTAGGATTTAGCAGAAGATCTAGATGGCGCATATGGTTCCAAATGGTTCCCACGGGGGTTTTAAATATTGAAATGTGATAAATTTAACGACTTTTTTACCCTAACTTTGTCGGATGATTGAAATCATAATGCACGCATATCTAAATATCTATTTTATACCACCTGTATGCACATTTAAATTTATATGTTTGGTCTTAAATCGAACGAACAACGAAAATACAAACGCACTACAATTATTTGCGCATTGAAATGTTATTATTTTTCTATTTTAATGAACAACTAAATTATACACAATTATTATTTCGATAGTAGTTTCTTCTACATAAATATATACATATAAATTCACCAATCATACTATTTCTCCATCCAAACATATTCTGTTATCAAACTGAATAATATTATTTATTTTTCAATTACCGAGTTGTTGATTCGAGGTGGGTGTCCATTTATATACGAAGTATACGTGACCTAGTTTTTGCTTTTGACGTTTACGAAACTTAGGGTTAACAGACGTTTCTTAAATTTCGAGCTATCATGCTCCGATGGCACATGGTGTTAATTTCGCAAAAATGGTGTGCGCACCAATTTAGCGTGGTTAGGAAAACGGATTAATGACCGTATATATATTACCTACCTTACTCTTTAACTATAGACCGAATTTTATTTTTCAAACGTCTAATAGACTCTAATGGTTGTTTGTTTTTTTCCAGGGTCCCATAGTTCCGTGTACTCACGCATTGCTCGCAAAATGGATCCCTCCGAACGAGAGGAGCCGAATGGGAGCATTCGTTTATGCAGGTATGTTACTGTGCTTATACAGCCAATTTATGTACAACCAAATAATATTACTATACGCATGCGTATAAATTGGATCCGTATGATAATACAAGTCTAATTTCAAAGGGTAAATGCAAAAAAATATATTGTGGTTTTGTATGGTTCTTTTATTAACTTGGCTCAGCAGGAGAGCAAGACATATCCTATTTTTTTCGGTTGTTTCAATATTTTTAAACTACATCCTAAATCCTAAATATTAATCATAAACAATCCACCTTCTTTATGAAATATTAGTGAAAACATAAAAGAATACATATTGTTACGTTAAGTCCGTGTATAGAACCTAAATACTAATAGCCATATTACCAAGTAAAAGTGTTAAATACAAAACAAACCTTATACTCTGATATGCAGATTTTTTTTACACAATTTTATAAAAGCCTTTATAAAAATGTTTTCTTTAACAGGACGCATATTATTATAGCATGATAAAAAAAACATCAATGATAATAAAGAGAGAACTACATTTTTAAACGCGTGAAACAACAATGGGTACTTGTAGGTGATCTCGTTACAAACGTTAGTGGGGACCTTTACAAGTATAATAATATGGTCGTTATTCTCGGTTTTTTTTCAACTTTTACATTATAACTTAATCCCTAAAAGAGTTAAACTCATTAAAGTGACACATTGAAATATCCTGCTGAGTCATCCCGGTTAGCTTAAGCGTATATTGAAGTCGTGTTTATTTAATCCTAAATATATGGGTATGCTTAAATACTTATTCAACTAACGTACAGTATACTGAATAGGCGTATACATACTGTGTACTTTGGTTAATTTATAACTTACTAGGTAGTATTTTTATGTTTGGTTTATTTTTCGAAACGGCTGTACACAAAAGATAATCACAACACACACATTTTTACCTAAATTGTTTGTACATAATATGTAATGTGTACCTACAATTTTTGACTTTTTTTTAATCTAGATTTTTAAGACAGTATTAATTACATGTTAATTACTTAACATTTCCATGTGTAAAAAACTATTGTTATATGGTCACTAATCACAAAATATTGAAATCCATACGAAACGATTATAAGTTATGAGTTACAACATTCTAATGTTATTTCAATACATCGTCACTCGGGTTATACATATAATAGGCCTGTGGCTTAATTTATATCCTATTTCAGGTACGTACAGAGTTGGTACTCGAGTGCACCGATTCCGAGATTAGACGATAGAATATTATATCCTCGGGCTAACAGTATTATAATATCAAATAATTAAATTACAATTTCGTTTATATTTTTTTTTTCGCAGGGGCTCAATTCGGCACAGTGATTTCAATGCCACTGAGTGGCGTGCTCTCGGAGTACGGGTTTGCCGGAGGATGGCCATCGATATTCTACGTGTTCGGTGCAATCGGCACCCTGTGGTCTGTCGCATTTTTGTGGCTCGTGCACGAGGACCCCGAATCTCACCCCACTATACCACACGACGAGAGGAAATACATTATTAGTTCCGTTTGGGGAGCTGCCGGTGTGTCCGTGAGTGTATTACAACTATTTTGGCGCGCTTGGTAGAACGGCAATAACAATTAAACGACCAGAATTTATGGGTTTTCAGATGATAAAATATATAACATACACACACGTCACAAAGTACTTCAGGCACATATACACACCCTCGTTTTGACCACTGACCCCCTGACGCTCTGCACACCCACGTCCCAACTCGTCCATCCCGGGTGGTTGTGTAATATTTATGAAACTCGTGTCGGTACCGTACACGCCGAACACAAGAACCGACGTGTAAATAATAATTAATTAAAATTCTATCGGACGTAGGTATTATTTACTCGCAAAACACGGTCGTCGGCTCTGCGGCGTTATAATTAATAATATTATACAATATAATATTCCTACCAAATACTATCCAATGTTATACTATTTTATCGTGCATGGCTGGTACCTATATACCGACGATATATTATAATTTATAATGTGCATCGCGATCGTTGTGAAATAAAACTTAATAGTCGTCGCAGAGCCTATATTACATTATTATGCACGAATACGGTCGTATACAATATAGGTATGTACGTTTTCGTTTGATATTTTGTTATAAAATAATATTATGTGGCAATATACTATATTCTGCTGCGAACAGTTTATCTTTATTATTATTATTATTATTATTAATGACGTATTAGATTACGAGATTTACATCGCATTCGACACTACACTATTTATGTACAAACCACATTACTCGTTCGGTGGGCATATTTCTCTGTTTGCCATTTTAATTAATGTTTACACTCGCTATAATATTTTCTTGGCTCTTGACATTTTATCACTTTTTTTTCAAATTTCTAAAAAATAACAACGTAATAATTCAATTGCAGACATAAATTATAATTAACTTCTAATTACGAAATCCGTATAGTATATTTTAACGTATCGAATGAGATCAAACGGGTTAAGGCTATATAATATAATATTGACGTTTACAATGTAACGTGTATTTAATAATATGATTGAGCACACAAAACGCAGAAACTTTTTGGTGTTTAATAAGATTGCTTTTATTACGATATTCGGATTGACACGAGCTTAACGTTTTTCGCTCGATGTGCACAAAGTAGCTTATACAAATATTGTTTAGTCTTATTTTTTGCGTTTCGTATATTATATTTTGTTCCATAGTTCTATACACACAAATAACACACTCTTCTTGCCAGTTCTTGGTCATAATTGTTCACAATGTATTCAGTCTAACAATAACGATTATTAATAAAACTAGGCTTGTTGACGAGTGTTTACGACATACTTAAAAGAAATAAAGAATGTCTCGAGGTGGAAGTAAGTTACAAGTTTATATATAATTGACAATTTCTGTACTTAACGATTTTGTCACTTTCTTATAGCTTCGATAATATTTTTAATAGTTAGTGTTATTTAGTACCTAGCTATAGTCCTATTAAAATGTAATATAAAGTTTTAAAAAAAATATGAAACAAATAATATTTTACACATTTATATTATTTTAGTTTATTCGTTTTTTATAAAAATATTAAAAATTACTGAGTATGAAAGTGTTTGGATTTTATTTCATATTATAATTTGTCAAGGCTTAATATTAATTGTTGATAATGTTTTGATGTAGGCATTTATCTTTCTATGTGTCAAACACTATAAATCAATTTCCAATAACTAATGAATTGCATTTCAGCCTATAAATGAATCAGCTTATTCGGAATTTTGCATACAATAAATTCGGAAACATTACGAAACGCACAACCCAACCATCTTTATTCGACATTACAACAAAATGTACAATTTGTTAAGTGAGTTACAGCCAGTTATCTCCTATTGACGAATCCCTTACCCGCACGAGATATACAATTTATTTATCTCTATTGGTAGTAGTTCGTTTTTATCGAAATTGTTTTAAATTAAATTACCTGTCATAATTATTATTATTTTCCGCGTGGAACAAAACCAACTACCGTTGGCAGTTTGATAGGCTGAAAGGAAGTTCGGAGCGCATTGAATTATGCTGAAGAGTAATTGATTGAAACAATATACCTGCCCGCGAAACGCCATTATTTTGAATATTGATAAATTGTTAAGGGTTTTTAAACAAATTAGTAAGGTACGTTCGGAATAGGAAATTATGTTACGTGCACACGATGCGTCCGTGTGTCAACGTTTATAATATTATAATTCAAGTCTATTTATTTCATCCATTATAGTTTTCTACAGTAATTTATGTACAAACAAAGTGTAAAAACCTCACCTGACTAAATTTGAAAAATATTGTCTTACTACACTTTAAGTATCTAATTCACAAGTGTCTCCTTTTTATTATTATTTATTCGCTTAACGTTACACATTTTTAAAATATGATAAACCCTTTCATCAACAAAAAATTACTTTTGATATCACGTTTAAGTATGAAATTTCCTTTCTGAGCGTTTCTCTTCACCGTAACTCTCTGTATATATATTATACAAACACTCTGACAGATCCAACGGTAAGAGAAACACCTCCGTTCATTATTTATTTATGCTCTGGGTATCAACTTGGGCGCGGGCGGCAGAGGGTTAAATTTATCAGCGTCCTGAATAACGATATTGTTTATGTTGTTCTTGGGTTATGATTTTTTCTTTCGTTTTTAGCTTCTATGCGGTTTTATCATATTGTTAATTTTTTATCTTTGCTTGTAATTTAATTTCCCAAATTCACCGTATCTCCTACATTGTGGTGTCTCGACTAGCGAATCTAAAAACGGATTTCATGAATAAAATATATTTTAATCTGATACAATTTGTTACACGATTCAGCCAGTCACCTTGTTTTGAATTTTCACTGATTGTTTATTCAATTGTTTTCTCACAATAATTGTTTTTGGTATTTATTTAATGCTTGGTTATAATTTATGGATTGAAATAAAACTTTTAAGCTATCGTTATTTTTCCGTTTATTTTAATTGTTTAATCTTTCACATTACGAGTGGCTTGAAGATGTTTTTCGTAACGATTTATATAAATAATGTTTTACAAAAAAAAATATGTAGGTCCTCACGAGCTATACGAAGATTCTTGAAAAGCACAAATACCTTGTGAATAGTATTATTTTAAAGAAATTTTTTTTTTTAAATGATGGTTGTTTAAATTACTTAATATTTGTTTTTGCAGATTTTAATAATATGTTCATTGAAAGAGAAAGTTATGTAACTATAAATATTTTTGCTAAAATTGAAAAAAAAAATAACTTCAGTAATAACTTTTGATAAAGTGAAATATTAATGTAAAAACTTATAGGCTTCATCGTTAAAGAAAAATTATAAACTATTTACATTTCAGCGTATTTATTATCTCAACATTTCTCATGATGACTGTATAATTAACATTTTATTTGCATTTAATACAATTTGTTATTTATTTTTTGCTTTTATGTAATTATTATGCATAATTTTTTTTACATAAAATATTTCTTTGAGACTTTGTTTATTTATACAGAAATTTGTTATTCAAAGTTATGTACAATGTTAATTAAACTATTAATTGGTACATATTATACCTATATAAAATACCCATATAAAGAGTGTACCCTAAAAGGAAAACCAAATAAAACTCTATAATTTATTCCTCAAATAAATACAATATACCTCGGGAATATGTATATTTTGTTTCGTAAAACTATACATATTATGCAACTTAATCTGGAACTGTTCGTATAAACGTTTATGATTACACAAATTCAAGAATATTTTTTAATTTTGCATATTATTAAAATTTTGTATTACATACCAACTCAATGTATTTGTTTGTCATTAAATACGTAGGTACCCAATGCAAAAAAAAAAATACATACATGGTTGACCCGAGTTGATATTATAAGATACATGGATTAAGATACCTACTACTCGGTATATTATTATGTTATTATGAAATATGTCTGAAAAACGAATTGTTTGTTTTACCTATAATTTAAAAACATAAAAACAAAATAGTTCTTGCTTGGCAGTAACGCACTCGCAATAATAGTCAAGCGCAAGTGTGCGGTATTATTATTTGTATTTCGTAAATAATAATATGCAATCGGGATGGGACGTCTCGGGCGATGGGTTTTTGGCCGATCCTTACGCGGGCTACGAACTCTACAGCACGATAGCATGCATATAATAATAATAATAATAATAATAATATGTTATTGTTCGGCGCAACTTTCAGAAACGCAATCTCCTTTCTCTGAACTCGTTGTTTTTATTTTCTAGTCTCCCCCCGTGCCGTGGAGAAGTATATTAAAGTCGGCTCCGTTCTGGGCCATATTGGTCGCTCACATGGGTCAAAATTACGGATACGAAACGCTCATGACCGAGCTGCCGACTTTCATGAAACAAGTGTTGCACTTCAATATAAAAGCTGTAAGTATATACAACAGTAAAATACTATTTTATAATATGAGATTGCCAAACGTATATATTATGTAAACATAGGTACTCCACTGTACAATGCTATGTACATATTATGGGACACTATAGCTATATATTACATGCCTGTGGGAGGGTAATTTATTTCATTATCGTTGTTTTTATTGATTTACCTATTATACTTGTAAGCTACCACTACGGTTATCGATAAACCATACCATCCGTTTGTTGTTTTTTTCAGAACGGAACGTACTCATCACTGCCGTACCTCGCCATGTGGGTGTTCTCGATGGTGGCCAGCCATATAGCCGATATGATGATCTCCTCCGAGAGGTTCACGCACACTGTCACGCGCAAAATCGTCAACACTATCGGTAAGGATCACACTATGTAATATTTACCTACCACTATATTTTTTTTGTCTCGTTCGGCCAATGAAGCGTAATGACATTACGTGACTTTGAATATTATTATATGTTCATGGTTATAATAACGATATAGGGGTATCTGACTAGTGATATTAAAATGCGACGTCGAAATGGCGCGGCTTGCAGATAGCGGGCGGAATGTTTGAATATATTGACCTTTCGATCTCCACCGGGTAACGTGCAATGGGTTAGGTACACATTATAATGCGTATACTATATATACGTAGTGACTAATTTAATTGACCGGGTTTTCGCGGCGAATTGCTTTTTATGACCTTCGGCGCGATTTTATACTAAATAAATAAACTAATAAGGCGGTAAACCCTCGGAAAGAGTATTCCGCCAAGGTTGTAATATGTTTGTAAAGTGTGGACCGTATCGAGGAGGCTCGGTAAAGAACAAGCCTTTTAAAGTCTTTGAAGTCTTAGAGCTCGTCAAATTATAATGCACGCGTGTGAAGCATTCTGCAACATTTAAGCGCATGGAAAAAGTTTGGAAGGGAAAATATAATATTGCAGCTGCAGAAAAAACGAGAAATGTTGGTCTACCGTCTTCATTGAGTTTAATTTATTTACTAGGTTCATAAAAAATTCACAAGTCCAGGCAAAACATGGTTTCCGAGTAAGAAATTCTAAAATATTGATGACTAATCGACAATCGTTAGTAATTTAACATTGTATGATAAAATTGTCCGTACATTTGTCTTTTCCCTGTAAGCATAAATTTATAATAAATTTCATACAAATTCAGCGTATAATATATTATTATACTCGGGTAACCGATATTTTATTTCAATGATCGGAAATCGAGTAAAAATTGTTATTCGTGTTTCCGTCCGCATACAGGATGGTTCATCAAGCAAGCTCACGGCTCACCCAAATGTTTTCGTAACAAGTTTATTCAAATATTGCTTTTTTTCAATTGTTAGATATTATATAAGATATAGGTGTATACTTTTTATCAAATTTTCAAATATTTACAATTTTACAAATAACATCTATAGTGAGTGTCCTGCAGTGACGATATTAACTTTTTTTTTCTTCAAATTTTCTAGTTAGTACACCGCAACCGTTATAACTGTACCTACATTGTTAAGCTGAATATGCTATTTTCAGAAATTTTGATGAATCAAAATCAACGCGTGTTTAACGATCACTCTGTATACCATATATATATATAATATTTATACCTTATTACTATTTCTATTACCTTATTATACTAGAACGTGCGTGTACTTTCGTACTGTAGACATAGGACCTATATAAAGAAAGTACATTATTTTGAGATATTATTTCGACTTGCGGCTATATATGAGTACGTGCATACCATATTCAAGTAGGCAAATGCAAATATATGGTTTCGTGAAAAAAATAGTCATGCATTTAAGGTATCATTATCGCCTTTCCGTGACATATTGTAGTTATCTAACGACGCGTCTATGAATGTCATTTTTCCATTCGCAGACACGCCTTTATATACCCAACCCACGCCCGAATCGTTATTTAAAACGTTCAACGTACAAAACAACAGATATTATAATTACTATTTTGTCAATTGTTTGACGGTCTAAATTTAATTCGCTTTACAACGCAATGGTGGGCAAATTCGCTTGGAAAAATAACTACTTAGGTTCTTGCTTACTTACCCATAAGCTGACCGGAGATTTATTGTTCCACGAAAATAAATAGGATTTAAAGTTACTATTTCGTAGCTGACTAATTTATTAAAAAAAAAAAAATAATATCAAATCACTGAGGGGTCAAATTATTGTGTGGAATGTGGTCTTGAGCGTTGTAGTTTTTGAGGATAAAATGTACAGTATCACAATGATTTATAGTGGCTTCATGTCACTTGGTAGAAAACGAATGTCGGTCACTAAAAACATCAGGTAAAAGGAATCCATACAGAAACGATAAAAATAAATTTAATAGTTAATACCTAATTGTAATTTTTTAAACATTTATGATTACGTTTAAAGCGTACGCGATTTGTTTACAGAACAATATATTTAGCTCAGATTTCGAAAAAAAAAATGTTACTAGTTGAAAGCAAATTCCTACCTATGTAATTACCCTTACCATGCACAAAATTATTCTACATGATTCTTGTCCAATGCTAGTCTTGCAGTGACGACAAAGGAGTATCTAACTGCAGTTGTGGGTAGTCTTAACTGTAATCTTAAAATGTTGATTATAATAGTGCAGCCCAAGGGAAATCACTAATGGAGCAAACCAAAAAAAAAAGAAATCACTTCACATTAAATAGATGGCGTTTAGGAATATATATACTTTTACAATGTTGAGTTGTCATCATAGATATATAACCTATATATGCATATATATATATATAGATAATGTTTCAATAGTACAGTATGGAAAATAAACAATGAGAAAACATAAATACAAAGGATATTTTGACAGTCTGCATAATATTATACATTAAAATGTATATTACGAAAGTTAGATCATTTTCTAAAAAAATATGCACTCGTAATACTAACTATTTTGAGCAGTTATTTGAAAAGTCCTTTTGTTCCTAACTATAGCATTGAATGTAATTAAAAAAACAAAAATGATCATAAAACATCATATTTATTTGTGGTAATACTCAATAAATAATCATTGATGTATCAATTTTTTTTATTGAATAAAACACGTGGTAGGAAGTTCTCTCGACGATAACGTCATTTCAATCATTTTTTTCTCTTATTACTTCTAGAGATAGAAAGTATAATAGAAGAAATATATAACCGTATAATAGAGATTTATAATCTCGAAGTCTTAAAGTTTGAAGAGCATTCAAATTGTCTACAGAGTTCAAGTTTATAATTTAATCCGGGTCTACTATTGTGCTTGCTGGTAACTGAGACTTATTAATTTATCTATAGTAAATATTTTAATGACTTTAACGTATATGATTTTATACTCCGTTTTTATGAAAATCTCTTGAAATACGTTCATTTTGATCATATATTGTTATATTTGTTGTGTAAGACAACGCACATATAATATTTACGGACATTTTTTTAATAGACATCATTTATCATAATAATATTATGTGTGATATTCTTATAGCAAATTTAACACACATAACAATATTTATTTTTAACTAATTTAAGTATCAATTCCTTTTAAAAGCTTAGTGATTTAATTTCAATTTAAATATATTTAACTAAATTTTAATCGAATAATATTATATTATGTAATAATAACGACATGATATGGCAACCAATTTGTCATGTACCATACACATTACACAATGATTCATCTTAGCACTTCCAATTTAAATTGTTCAGTTAAGCATAAGTCGCTGCATTGCATTTTTCGTGTGTAATGTCTCCAAAAATGAAGTTATTATATTTATTTCCATTTTTTATGATTCCTTTTTTGTTATAAGAAAACTGCAGAGTATGAAATATTATATTTTGCATTGCATGTTACTATATTACACATATTATATAATACATAATAATATGATGCACATAATATAACACGTTATCAATTTATTCAGTATTTCAGTTTAATTAATGCACAATATCCAAACACAAGACTGCTGTCGAGACATAAGATTAATTAATAGTTGTTTATTTGAGGGTATTACTTTTATTTGTTTGTCTTTAGACCAAATATTCTCTATTATTCTCTCTGTTTTCTTTCTTCCAAACACGATAAATGATTATCACACTTGTAATAATTAACCCTGCCACGACCGGCGAACTGGAAATATTTACAAACCATCATAAATAAAAAAATATATTTTAATTTCCTTTTTTTTCTTTTGATAAAACAAACAAAATAACCGTCAACAGTCAACACAAATATTAAGTGAATTATTTAAGACGGTATTGGTATATAAGTGCCCTACATTTTTGGTATTCTCAGTTAAAGTTGACCGCGTGTATTATAATGTTATATTTTATCCGATAATAAATTCAAGCCCATAAATATGCTTTAACTGTTTTTTTTTTAAGATTATAATATAAAGACAATATTAATTCATCATTTTAATTTTAATTAATTTAAGACTAGTTAAATATATCCAGAAAACATATCCAATACAACATTTTTAGGTACCAAGTATGATTTTATTAGAATAAATGTCTGTTATGAGACATTATTATTATTAGACATAATAAATACTATCTACAGATTACACTAACATTTACAGCATTTTATGAAAATGTTCATGTCATTTTTAATAGATGAATTCAAAAATATATTTGTTTACTATCGCACGCATCCTTACATAGGAAATATACCTAATTATTTCACTTACTTACCCATAATAATATTTTTTAATGAAATCATCTCATCTTTTAAACATTTCGGTTAGGCCGGTTAACTTGATTTTGTTTGATGGTTTGTAGCATTCGATGAAAGGTTCTGAGTGGGGCTCATTTGCTGACAATGAATAAATCAAAGTTTGTGTATAAACGAATAGAAGCTTATTAAAAAAAAATGGACTGATGATTTTCAAAACTTAAATAAATCAAATCAACCCATCGTTTCAAAAAGTAATTAAATTCTTAATAGCTTGTCGCGCCTGATTTTCAAATAATAAATCTTTTAGCAACGTCCAAATTTTTATTTTTGTCGCTTTAAAAAAACCATCTTATTTATTTTCCTAGTTTTTTCTTTTTAACTAAATACAAAATAGTTGAACATTTAGACATTTTTTAATTATTATTATTATTATTATTATTATTAATTATTCTAAAAAAACCATTGTATCAAAAACAAAAACATATATTTATATATATATATATTTACACTGGCATATGAGAAAAATATAATAACTTGTAAAGAGTACACAATTACTCATAATTACCTATACAAGATTTTAAATTAAGACTTATACTATAAATAAATAATATATTGCATAGTAAAAAGCCGCATCCTGAACTTCATACAGAGTGTCCCACCAAACATGCTTACCACTTTACCATTTTCCTTTATATTGATTTTATAATATTATGATTTTTATGATTCTAAGTGTACTCAACCACTATATTTTTAAATATTTAGAATGTTATTCAATTTTTAAGATAGTCCTCTGTGGTGGTATACAATTTTTTTTCAATCAAAACCATAGTTTTTATTGTAAATTGTTATCCAGATGGTTATTCTGAAAACATTGACGCATCCCAATCGAAATTTGAAACCATAGTTTCCTAGTTATTACATTTACGGTACTGTTTATAATAATTTGTGATAATAGATTGAGAAGATTGAGTGGGTTATGATGATTTGAAAATTTTAGTATTCAATATTAATTTAATCAAATATTGTATAATTTGTAAAAATTGTCCGAGTATCGAAGTATAATAAGAACTGGACTAAATGTTACATATTTTTTATATTTTATAAGGATTGATAAGAACTGTATTATCATTATCACAATGGTTTAATAATTTAGAGACTGTTCGAATTTTGATTTAGATGCTTCAAAATTTACATGAAAAGTATCTGATTAACAATTTACAGAAAACAATATTATGGTTCTTGTTTGAAATAGAGAACACTCTTTACTAATTAAACGGTATAAATTATCCACTACACAAACTATATGGAAACGTGATATCTTAGTTGTACTTACCAAAATGTCAACAAATGATAAAATTATCATTTTAGTAAATCACCCCGATAATAATATACTACGTACCACCCAAAAACCCTGGTCAGACGACGACATTCCAAATGCAATGTGAAAAAGACATCAATCTTAAAATTATTTTCAGATGATACTGAATACTAATAAGGTGAATATTTCTATACGAGTGTCAACAAATTCTCAAATGGATACTATTTACTGTAGAGTAAAAACAAAAACCAATAAATATTTTCACGGGAAATTCGATAGTTTTTAATAGTTTTGTTTCCTGCCATGTGCATAAAACATTTTATGTAAGATACGTTATGTACATTTTGAAAATCGTGGTGTCATTTTAAATGGCCAATATTATGCCGTTGACGATGACACAGCGATGAGTTTAAAAAAAAATAGTGAGTTATATTATATCGTATATTATACTGCAGCAGTCGCCGCCGAGGTTATAATATCGTTAGCGACACGTTCGAAAAGCTAATTTCCGATCGGAGGTCGCTTTAATGATTTCCGATTACGGAGAGAAATTCGACGACGAGGCATCTGCTACTGCTTCTGCTGCTGCTGCTGCTGCTGCTGCTGCTTAACAGAATAAACACATTGTTCGACGACGGGTATATATACACTGTGGAGTGCTTGTATAACAGATAATATTATATAGCATAATATATTATATTGTACTGTGTAAGGGGTTTCCGTCGATGGCGCCGAATCTGCAATGTGTATACTATATATGCGTATTATATACGACGCCAATGGTTATTATCATTATTATTATTATCATCATCATCGGCAGCAGCAGCACCAAGCCCGACTTGAGTGTTTGTACACACTTAGGCAAACTATACGTCGCTTCACTTTCACCCCTATTTTTAGTAAACTCAAAAATTTAAATTTCCCCTACAAAAACGCTGTCCTAGGCGATCGACAGCCAACCCTTATTCTGGTCCCCTTGTTACATGCCTTCACCGATCCGATGTACGTAATTATTATTATTATTATTATTATTATTATTATTGATATTATTATTATTATTATTATTATTATTATTATTATGGCGTGCTCGCCTATATGATATGTGACGTCTATCGTAACTCGAGACGAGTGGGTCGTCTTGAAACCAGCCCCGGAAGGACGGCGATAGTTGAGATAATAATGATTGGGTCGAACTATTTGTTAATTTTTACTGTTCCGTCCTCTGTTTACAGGTCAATTTGGTCCAGCGATAGCGCTGATCGCCGCGTCTTACACGGGCTGTGACCCGTACCTGACTGTGGCCATACTCACCGTGGGGGTGGGTCTCAATGGCGCTATTTACTCGGGATTCAAAGTCAACCATCTGGACATATCGCCGCGGTTCGCCGGAATACTGATGAGCCTGACCAATTGTCTGGCCAACTTGGCCGGTCTGCTGGCCCCAATCGTCGCCGGCTACGTTATTGACAAAAGGGTAAGTGGAAAATTGTATTGTGTGTAACGATTACGGCGTTATAACGTCTTCTATTATGGTTGCGAATGTAATGCGCCGTAAAACCTTTTAGGGGAAAAAATGGTAAAAACTGAATAAAAAAAAAAATAAAAAAATTATGTTCCATTTGTAGGTTAGGTCTGTAGACGGGCACAATCAAACATTAATTTATATTTTTCTTCTATTATTTACTTTTAGATTCTGAGCGGAGCGATAAATGTATTGATTTTACAATCAATATTTTTTTATTTATTGCATTTGCGCTTATATTACTTATTAAATGCAAGGAAGAAGTTTAAAGTTTAAATTATTTGATATATCGATCTCGAAAGCAACGATACCAATAGAATAGGGAAAGAAAAAAATTGATATTTTTCCACGATTTCACATTCTTAATTATAAGTCTTATATTGTCCCTTCAGATCACCTCGATTTCTACCGCTTGAGTTCCTATAATGATATATCGAGAATCTTAAGCCCCAAAATCCATCAACTCTGAGGCCGGAGAATCTCTATTTTTCTTTTCAGTTGGGTTTTTGAGCCATCGATTCATTCGTTTGTTTTGTTTTTTCCTTCTTTGTCTTTGTGGCTTTACCCAATGACCGAACACAAAAGCTTAAAAAATAATTATGGCGTTTGGTGGCCTGGGGTATACGCACCTACCCACACGGAGGAAAATATATTTTTCAACTAATTACTGTATAGTTTCAGCGAGAAAACAACGTTTTAATTAAAAAGGTCTTTTTGTTTTTAACAAAAATTAATATTCAAGAGAGAAATACAAAAAATATACAAAAATCTACTTTGTATAATCTAAAACCTTCTTATAGTAGCTAATTCTTGTTGATTTTTTTCTTAGCATATCATAACGTTTATTTTTTTATATTTCATTGCAAAATTGTAATTTAAGTCATATAACATTAATATATTATGCCTACCTACATTGCAATGATCAATTATATTTTTCTTTTGCAATGAATTATACTGGCTGGACTATGTTAGGTACACAAAGAACCTTGGCATTTTAAAGCAATCGTAAATTATTGCATTAGTTTAATGATATATATATAATAATATGATTAAACATTGATGAAATAAAATAAATAATATATTTAAGGTTTTAGATATTTCAGGTATAAATATTTATCTATAAGTTCCGTTATTCAATAATATTGTATTGGAAAAAAACTTAAAATATGATTTTTAGTTAATATTGTATTAAAATGCTAAAAATAATATAGATATATCTAATAAATAGTAATAGAGATAAAAAATATAGACAATAATAACTTTTGATTCATAAAATTAAAAACTTCAAGTAGATATTTGAAAATAAAAACATTTATAGGTATTATGTTCAGGCCAGAGTGAGACTAATTGTGTGGTTAAAAATATAGTTTCAAAATTATAAAACCTTAAAAATATTTTAACATATTATTATTACGCCTAGAAAAAAATCAATATTATTAAGTTCTATATTCATTATTAAATTTGACTTAAATATTATGGCCTAAATTGTATTGTGTGCTAGTATTTGTCCATATCTCTGGAAAACTAATTGAAAATTCCAGATACAACTTTTTTGAAGTAGGTGCATCTTTGACAAAATTCCAATATAAAATATAGAAGCTACATAAAAACTTGAGAGTAGAACCCCAAATAGTATTAACTTTTAATAAAAATAAAACCTTACAATAAATGATCATAATATCGTGATTGTATTTCTATGTAATACATTTTAAAATACCGTTTATAAATATAGGAAACATTTTATTTCATCAATATACTAATAATATTTATTGCATTAAATTTTTGAACAGTTCATTACAAATGTGTGTATGTTTTAAAATGGATTTTTCTTTTTTTTTTTTTTTTAATGTACCATGATTAACGTAAATGGTACCTATTCCACAAAGACGTGTTTTGTACAGCGTTTTCGTGTAAACCTTCATACAATGTTTGCATGTTGAATAATACTTAAAAAAAACTACAATGTTAACCGACCCATATTAAAATGTTTAAAACTAGGTGAGGAATGAATGATGTATTTTATCTAGGATATCATAAATTTGCATTGAGCTCGTTCGATTACTACATTTTAACTTGCAGCAGTATGATGGATTGAAAGAAATAGTTGATATAATATATTTAATGTATGCAATGCACATACCCAATGGTATTTTATGTTAGTATAATAAGTTAATCTAAAATGCATCTTAGATAACTAAGACTAGAACTAGTTCAGTTGGGGCTCAGCGTCTTCTCGGAGAAAGAATAAATATCTTACATGTATATTGTATATTATATTATACATGTAATATGTGTAGGCGTATGTGTATTTAACCAAAGTACATACATTAAAATTTTGCTATACTGAATAGTAAGGATTACCGTCGCACTTCGTATAATCCACAATATCCTTAAGGCGTATAATATGGTACCTATGTTGCGAACTTTTAGTAAATGCATACAATAACACTGTATATAATGTGTATAAATTTGTATGTTTAAAAATGACTAATACAAATTTCAATTTTCAAAAACCATAAGCACCTGGGTATTAGATTAAGTTGAAACTACATAAATAGGTAGTTAGTAGCCAACAATTCTGCTAATCTATAAATAGCAATTATAATTATTGATTATTTTAACAGACATCATTAAAATACAATTAAACTCGACTTAATTTATTTTTAATATTAAGATTTATGAAAGAAAAAAACTATACTTATTTAATACAATTTTCTACATTGTGGTTTTTTTTTCACCAAATATTTAACAAAAATAATTTAGCCATGCAGTGTACTTTTTAAATACAATATAGTAAATTCGTATCGCGTGTTATATATTAAATAATTCTATGGACATTAAAAAAGTATATTTTTCTTAGGACTGTCTAACTTTAAAATTAAATACCATAATTAATTAAGCGTTGTATGTAAGTCATTTTAATAAATTTCAATAATTAATTTGATAAAAATTAAAAATCCATATTTTCGTAAGTTATTATTCCCATTAATAATAATTAATAATATTTTCTTTATTCTAAAGAATAATAATTGTTTACCACAATGAAGTTATCTTAACAATAGCTTAATGATGGGCTAATGGAAATATTAAGGCCTTGTACAAAATATATAATATTATTTACTATTGTTATATTATTCAGGAGCACTTTGCTTTGGATATTTTTTCATTACATACAAAATACAGTTAGAGTATATATCTTTTACATTTTAAAAATGATAATGCTGTTTAATAACAGCTTTATGTTTTATGTAGCATAATATTTGTATGTATAAAAAGATTTCCAAAATGCCTCGTTCAGAAAATTGAGGTTATATAAAATTATTTTTAAGTCATTGACTTATTTCTTTAAAAAAAAATAAAAATAAACACTTGTCATGGCAGTTACCCAGCTCTTCATTTCTTCATTCTTATTTACTTTAATATCAATTCTTTCGTTTTTGTGACATAAAGATCATATTTTATAAGACACAAAAACAGATTGGGGAAGACAGCACACAAAGCTGTGAAACGACAATTACTACTATCCTAACAGTACATTATTTTATATCTGACGATTAAATGTCGCCTGGAATCATTTGAACATAACAGTCATTAATTGTATTGTATTGGACATACACATATGTTATTTAATTACTTAACACATCCAGTACAAAAATAAAGTTCGATGTTTAATTTTGTTTTTGTTAATGCCAATATTATTGTTTTCATTTCCTGTACCATAATTTTTTAATTTAATTTTATTGTTTTCAAACACATTTGTTTTTAGTATACAGTGACTATTCTTTTCAAATTTTATTCCCTTGAATTGGTTAAAATGAATGATTTTATTTCATCGATCATTTACAAATCAATCATTATTTTTGTTATCCTCTCAAATGTACTGTTTAAATTATTGATAATCCCCTCCAAAATTATTATACTACTATCCTACTTAAACCTTATTTTAATTGCGCATGTTAAAATACTCATGTTTCATAGTAAAATGTCATGCCTTATTTGTTTTATCTCTCAGATCCGTGCATAACATAATTAGCAAATTTACGTTCAGCCGATCAAATTCTGCGTTGTTTGCTTTTATATTAGAGTTAATATTACAATTATGAGATTCACATCACTCGCTTTAAAATTAAAATACCAATAAAAGCCTTTGATGTACTCTAGATAATAGTACATTGCTTTGAACTTTGATAATAGGTCAATAAATCTATTCTAATACATTAAAACTAAAAATACAATACATTTGATCTGAGGACAGTAAATTTATTATGTTTTGATGGGAAACAAAATTAGTTCACTAATATCATCTTAAACGAATATATTCATATATAAATATTGTATTATATTATTATACAATACATTCATTGACATCACAATTTAGCAATCTCACTTAAAATTTAAAAATATAATTACCATAGTAAATATTCCCTATACGCATTTTTGAATTTACTATTTAAATTATTTGTGCACGTATTAGAATTGTTTAACCTACTACATTTTTTCTTTATTATCCATTTTTTGACAATTCCCAACTTGAAACTGATCATGTGGAAAATTCTAGTGAGCATTGAATAAAAACATTTTGTAACACCTACAACTGTAGAATTTGATCGTCTGAACTTTCATATTAGGTTTTAGTAATATTATTTTTAAGATGCATAGGTAGTCAAAACATTCGTCTTGTAGAGAAATCGAACAATATTTTCGTTGTCAAACTTATGCGTGACGAGTATGTGGTCTTTTCCACTCACACTCTGGTTTTTGAAAACGATATCGATATCGTTAGGCTTCTAATATGACCCCGAGAAGAATTTTAATTCATCAATGTATAATTTAATTCAAGATATTATTATCACACGTGGTATTTGTATATATTACAAAATATATCACTCAATATTCAAATTAGGACTGTAGTTAATCTGGTCTCTCCCGAATTACCATAGCAAATAAGAAACTTAACCCGAAATGACGACGACCCTTTAAATCCGGATTAAAAACGTCCGGATAACACCCAAATACAAACCCGAACCATGAAATAGGTATCCTATAATCTATAATGTGTAATAATAATTATATGTACACATTATTATACATTTTAATACACACAATACCCAATACTGTCGTGTTATAACCAAAAACGCAACGCACGGGCCCCTTAATACTGTTTATATGATATTATAATACCTACGTAATAATATGATAATATATTTTATCGTAATATCAATCGGTGTCATTGCTAGTCATACAATAACACGCCTGCCCAAATAGTACCCATATATTATAACAACACCAATACAATATATCGTTACGATAATATTATGACAAAATGTGAAGTACACTGTATAGTAATACAGGTGTACCTATATTGTTTTACTCTGGAATTAAATTTTCCTTTTGTGCTCGTTAATCGTTTCAGCCCACCCAGGCAGCCTGGAGAGTGGTGTTCATAACGTCGGCGGTTGTGTACATGGTGTGCTGTACGATTTACCTGGTGTTCGGCAACGGCACTCGTCAGCCGTGGGACAATCCGTCCAACGACCAAATGAACTTGGAGCACAAGAAAAACAAGAAGAAGAACAAGATGGCCATGGACATCGAGGACACCGTTCAGTGAACGGCGACTCTTCAACGTCGTCCCTTCACCGGTCAGCCCATATAACCAACAACCCTTGCCTCCCACCCCCTACCCAACTAACCATCCTACCATCCCCGCCCAGCCAAATCTTCAACCACCCCCATAACCTAACCGCGCGAATATCACCCCTATCGCATGTATGCATAATGTAATATTACCTACATAATATGAGCTGGCGCGTTTTTGTGCAAAAGTTTACAAGGAAAGCACACCGACCACGACGATACAATGTGCGTATAACGCGTGCGTAAAAGTATATGTGAGTGTGTGTATGTGTCTGTGTAAAAGTAAATATTGTGTAGGTTAATAAAAGAAAAAGTAAAGCACGTCTGTGAAAAGGTTTGAAATATACAAAAAAAAAAAGGATAATTCTTCGTAACGGTATATTATAATATAATATTGTTGATAAATGTATACACACTTTATTTATTATTTTGTTTTAAAAAAACTTAATTTTTTTTAGATTTACAATAAACTTACTCGGGTGTCGAATCTTGACACCATAGAAAGCACATTCTATTAATTATATTTATAATTATATTTTTTTATAATAATTATTAATGAATAATAAAAAAGTCGATGTTAGATCATTATTGTCTATTTTTAAAAATATAACTTATTTAATTGATAAATTATGAAAATAAGTTAAATTTTTCGTTCTATATATGACTATTTAGCTTTTTAATAAAAAAATTAAAATATATATGAAAAATTGTGATATTGTTAGAAGTATATTGTTGCTCCGGAAAAGTACATAGCCTGATGTGTTCTTGATTTTCTCAAAATTTATGTCTTCCCCATTTAAAAACATTAATATTATTCCCTCTCAATTTTCCGTTTATAATATTTCGATAGATTGTAAGTAAAAACGAGTAAACGCAATAAGATTGAAATATATATGATTTATTATGTAAATTAAAAAAGTGAAAAACTAAAAAAACATAATTTGATTATTATTATATGATCTTGTGTTCCTTCGACTAGCTCAATATATTCGTTGTTTTAGACATGCATGTTTTGAAAAAAGATGTGCAAAATGTAACTAAAAATTAAAATAATCTTAAGCAATAAATAAAATAGGTCATAATATTTGTTTCTCTGTAGGTGACATTTTTTGAGAGCGTGTACGGTGAACTGGGCATTTCACGAAAGGGGAAATTATGCAAAAATTTCTCATTAATTTCTTTCACATTTTGTCAGTATTTTTTTTTCACATATATATTATAAAATTATTAATTATATTATTATCACTGCATAATTTTTTTCCAATGTGATAGTTATTATATTTATTAAATTATTCGTTAAAAGATTTATTATTATAGTAATAAAGTTAAATTTTATGTTTAAGCGTCTGTTTCTGGATTATATATATTGTTGTATTCAAGTTTAGGATTTGTCGTTTAGTGAGAATGATAATATTACTGTTACAAATAAAAATAATTATAATACAATTTTTTAATTAAAAAAATATGTTATAATAGTTATTTATTAGAAATCCATTAAAAACGACTCTATGTACCATAAATGTTATAGAATAATATATATATATATAAATATATATATAAAGAGAATATTTAAAAAAAATGTATCAATTTTTTTTCCAAATTACTACTATAGCTGAGCCAATATAAGTTACCAAAAAAAAAAAAACAAAAAACAAAAAAAAACAAACAAAACTCAATAAACAGTATATGACGAGAAATTTATCTTAAATCACTGCTCTATCGAAATAAAAAAAACTATCAAATATAATATATATATTTATTTATAATATATATGGCTCATTATTTAGTATATAGTTTATTATTATCTTAACGTTACATGTTAATTTGTTTTTACCTTATCCTTCTATTTAACAGGGTAATAGTATTATTTAAATTTAGACCTAAATATTATATAGTACCTAATTCTTAAGTTCATACCATTGTCTGATGATAATGATGATAATATTATTATTATTATTATTACGTAGGATATTTATTTATTTTATTTAATTAATTTATTATTATTTTTTTTTTTTTTACCTTTAATTTGTATTTTTTCGCACGTTACTTAAGCACAGTTAATTTTTATCACTGACTTTCAAATTTTACTTATTACTAGCAAGTATATGATTATTTTTTTAACCCTTGTATATTGGAAATGTTCAACGATGACCAAAACAATTTTGTCTCCCGACCATGTCTGTCCATGTTGTACCAATATTATGTTAAGGTTCGCGCACGTACCGGTTACTAATTAATATCATTCATACAATTCGGACACGATCTATTTGGGGAGGAGGCATTATTTCGGAAAGAGAAACCTAGTCGTTAATTCAAATAATAACATGTATAAACAAACGATATACAAGGGTTAAAAGAATTACCTAATTATCTATTCAATTAATGTATTTTAAAAAGAAGCGCGACCCGATTTTAATGAACCATTTATTAATCCGAGACCACTCGCGTGCGATGCTGTATCGTACGTTTTACTGTACTTATACTGATATAAAATAAAACAAAATTAAATGACTGTTCATTAGTTGAAATTATGTGTTTATTATTGTTTAGGTTGTCAATTATTATTCTAGAAATAAATACATGAGTTGTCAATAACTGTTATTATTGTTGTTTTTTTGCATCCTAAAAAGAACCACCTCATTCGACGACGCAGTTGGTGACATTGTAATTGTATTGATAAAAAAAAAAACAATAGAGTGAATGCAACCTTACAAAAATATTGATAATATTTAAATCACAATATTGATCAATGAGTTTTATTTGCAGATACGTATCGCGATCCACTCACTGCGACTGAACATTTTTGAAATAAATTGCAAGACGGCAGTCGATACATGCGTGTGTTTGTCATCTTGGACATATTATATATACCTGCATCACATAGTGAGGTTAATACGATTGGAGGCCAGAAGTAGAAATACGTGCACCGCCTCCTCTCTCCATCCTATACGATGCCGAACAAATTAAACGAAGAATGACCGCAGTAGATGAGCTCTCAATCTACGTCCATATTCAGATAATAATATCATATCATTTTCGATTTATATAAAAAAAAAAATAAATTAATTAATTAGAACTGTAGGTGGGAACTCGAGGTCCCGTAGAGTTCGTCCGACTCGAGTTTTTAACTCGGAAACTTCCGAAATTCTAACACGCGCGAACCGATGGACGTTTTCAGCGAGGCTTGTTCATGAACATATTATACTATAATGGACTATGAGCAGACTTGGTCCGATGCCTGTAAGCTATAATGCGGCATGATTCTTGTATTAGATTATGCGCACGTGGCGCGATCGGAGTCGTCCTCACGTGGTACCGTTTGAATTCGACTGGGAGCGATAGAGGTCGTCACTCGTCGAGAATGATAGATACTGCGGCTATAAGTCGCAAAAGCGTAGGTTTAAAAAAAAAAAAAATATGCATCATCTGAAACGGAATCAACGCATGTAGGCATGTGCGATGTGAGACGGTGTTGGAGAATAATATTATACTATAGTCGTACATAATATCACGTGCACGCCGTGCACTTGCTTAGCACGCAACGTGAATTTCACATGCGTAAAATCAATACGTGTAATATTATTATTGTTTTTTATTACCTATTATAATAATTATAATACTTATATAATAAAATATAATAATGTGTATTCATGATACTATTATAATAGGTAGGTGCCTATATTATGTTTGTGTTTTTGACTATGCGTATAATGATACGGTACCCTGGATGCGTGTTGGTAGATTCCCTCCTCCCCCGTTTCCCGTGTGCAGCATTCTTGAAGCAGTGCCATATTATTAAGATTATGATATTGTGTACGACTACCGTGATACAATGTACGAAAAACTAATCGCTTTCCACATTTTGCAGTTAGGTTGGGTTACAAAAAATAAGGTCTTGACAAGAAACCCTGCAGCGAGTTCAATAATTTAGTGTTTTCCAAAATTACTTTTACCAAAATTCCTGACTTCTTTCGATCTTTATTTTTATAAGAGAAATTTAAAACGCATTCGATTCCATCATTCTCCATATTGTTGACCAAACTCCTAATGATTTTCGCCCTTAAGTGTTCGAGTTATTGCAGTTATTGTATACAAACAATGACAATCCGTGAAAATTTTAATGCGTATTAGCTTTCCCTACGCGATGTGCATAATAAGTTCCGTACCTAAAACAACCGCATAACATTGTTATGATTCCACTAAAGCACATAATATTTCGTCATCGAAAGTCAATTAATATTAACTGTTAACCACCTGCAACCGAATAATATTATGGTAATTTTTAAGCCACTCAAATGTTTTGTCCTTATGCCTATATATACGTGTATTATTGGCCTTCCAACGTTTATCCGCGACAATTTGCCGGACTAAAACTTTTTGAAATATTCAAATGGTCGCTTTTAATGACCATCGTGATTGATGATATTTTATCATTATATATTGTAATTATTGCAAGACATAATGATTGTGAGGAAACCGTGGGAAGTGGGTTATGCAGTGTGCACTAATAATCGTCGGCCATTGGTATAACTAGGTAGGTACTAATAACCACTATAACCATTATAATAATATTGTGATGTCGGTAGTGCGCCTACCTTTGACGGTATATCTATAACGCGTCGTCGGCGGCGGTGGTCAAATATATCTTTGTATACGTGTATGTTTCCGTGTGTGTGTGCGAGACGCGTTAATTTATCAACTGAAACGATTCGATTTTCTTTTCTGGCTATTTTTACTCGGGGCCGAGGAGTTCGATCAATATCCTAAAACAAGGACGGGTGCGCGCACCTGAAACCTTTTTGAGTATTTCTTTCGGGGCCTTATATTTGTACTGCCGGACAACGTGCCGTTTTCCTTAGGATGAAATAATGTTATCCGTTTTGATTAAGGACGACAGGAGAACAGTTCGGGTTTTTTTTTTTAAATCGATCGCCCTGTGCAGACGACTATATAATAATACGATTCTCTCGGAGGTATCGGAACGTAATTGAAATTAAAGACTAGTGCGCGTAGAGTTAAAATGCGAAGAAGAAAAAAGGTTTATAATATAATACACATCGAACCGTCGCCGGTGGCTACAAAACCCAGAATAATATAATATACTCGTCGAAGGAAATGGTAAATAAATAATATTGTGACCAAAACGTTATTAAACTTACCGATTTTTCTCGTTTCTTCCGTTATTTTTATTATTAATACACGTCGCTCTTGTCCGTTCAAATCACGTTTTATAATTACTATTATTATTTTCCAATCGATATTGTGCTTATTAAGTAATAAACGAGCTTTCGAGAGTTTTGATCAGGTATGTGAATGACATGCATAAAAGTTGATGTATTACTATTTATTTCTATAGTTATAATTATTTATAATTGTTTATTAACGTAATAAAATAGTATTTGGTAGGTAGTATTATTTTTATGAACAAAGTTTTTCTTTTCAAAAGTTTTCTTTTTTTTAACGATGTTTGATTTTTAATATAATACTTGATTGGCTTGAAAGCAACCAATCAATTCTAAAAAACTTATTTTGTAAAGTGCTCTTTGCATCAAATTTCCATCATATATAGAGGTGAGTTTTTACAACCACAAAAAGTGTTTTAACTAAAAATCACTTTAATATCAAATCACACAAATTAATGTAAAATCAATACGTTCATAACTCCACTCATAATTAAATAAACAAAGGTATTATACTAATAATAATTGTTTACTTAAATTCCTAAGGGTTTAAAATATGAGAAGAAATGGCTAGATACTCGTACATATGAGGATTCTTCTCCAAGAGTAATGTGTAATCAGCTTAAATTGATGCATTCTTAAAGAAACCGTTTTGAGAATAGGTATTTGAGCTCTTGTACTTTTTCAAATACCTCATAGAGCTACAAATATATCTCCTTCCTACATAAACATTTAACTGCTCTTAATTGGGTCCTTAATAATTTCAACACAGGTTCTATTCTCGTTTTACTTATCGAAACCCATTTGTTGTTTAGCAAGTGTTTTTTTTTTTTATATAATAAAACGAAATACCTACCCACGTAGTTTGGAAATAGAATGAGCAAGTACAATTTATATAAATATAATACGCAAGTCATGCTACATAAATATTAAAGTAAAATAATACAACGTCCCCAAATCGAATTTCACTCGAAATTTAAAAACACTAAGCTTTTAATCAATTGCGCGTATGGTATCAAATGTATAGTCACGAACACTCGTTCGCGTGTGTTATTTGTATCGCTTATCTTTTGTCAATAATATATATATTATATTGTATAGGTAACCTTCGTCGGAGCCGTCACATTATTGTTTTCCATTTCGGTTGATAACGTCTGGTCGGGTAAGTATATTATAATGCTAAACTTTTTATTATGATACCAGGAACAACTCGAATCACTTCCACAATATTACGTTTGTAATCGTAAAAAATAATAGCGAATGGAAACCTTCCAATCTCACCAAATGCCTAAATCACAACCGAACTTTTTTTATCATATTGAGCTTTTTTTCTATACGTATACATGCCAAAAATCCGAACATTAATACACCAACTGTGTTTTGATCCAATGGCGCCAACGAGTTGATATGTATTTTTTTTTTTTTTTGCTTATCTTGTTGTATTATTCTCGTCGTTATTATCAGACATTTTCATATCGATTCGCTAGGTCAACTCAATGTATACTGTTTTCGTTTAATCTATAGAAGCAACTGCATTTTTATTAGTTCATTATTGTTCTTTGGAAACCAGCTTGTTGAGAAAACATTTACGAATTTATAATATGCAGTAGAAACTTTTTATAAACACATATATATTTATAAATGTATATTGTATATATTGTGAATGTATATAGATAAAATTATACACTACTGAACGAGTGGTTTGATATCCTCAATTAATTATGCACCCATCATATTTATTTATTGAACTTTTACTAGGAGAATTCATAATTGTATAAAGCTATTGTTAATTAATAACCTAATTTAATACAACGAAGACAGAATACTTAATTACAAAAAATAAATAATTCTACAGCATCAATCGCATAATCACAACTAAATACAATTATATTTCTTAACAATAATGCCATGTCATCTCTTATATTTAGAAAAAAATAATGTTTGTTCGACACAATTGTTAACTTCAGTTAACTGAATAGTTGTATATTACAAGTTGTGAGTTTCGTATAAAATGTATAAAATGTCGTCGACTAGTCAATACGCTAAGCGGCTTTTCGGTAGACTCCATTATCTACAAATCAATGATATGTTTTAGTTAAATATTCCGATAATAGTGTTTAAAAGTAAATATATAAAAAATATGTGACAAAACTGTTTTTCTTTGCAGAATTGACATAATAATTAATAATAATACATTTATAATAAATGGTTTTCATTATTTGTTTTATTTTTTCAAATATTTTGATTTCAATAAAAGTTATTATATTTTGTTCACCCTTATCCCTGGTTAACGTAAAATTGTATACAGCCACTATCGATTATAAATATCAATATATTTGATACGAACATCATTATTAGGTGGTATTAATAATATTCGAGTTTCTATACGCATTTCATTTAAACTCGGTGTATTTGCCTATA